TGCTCCCAATATTCTCTTAGACAACCTCTGAGGCCGTCACAGAGCAGCTGTATTTGTACTGATATTACATTACACACAGGTGCACTCTATTTAGTCATTAGCACTCATCAGGCAATGTCTATGGGCAACTGACTGCACTCAGACCAAAGGGGGCTGAATAATTACTCACACCCCACTTTGCAGTTATTTATGTGTAAAAAATGCTTGGAATCATGTATGATTTTCGTTCCACTTCTCACATGTACACCACTTTGTATTGGTCTTTCACGTGGAATTCCAATAAAATTGATTTGTGTTTGTGGCTGTAATGTGGAAAAGTTCAAAGGGGCCGAATACTTTTGCAAGCCACAGAAAATACACAGAAGGATAATGAGAAAAGTGAGAACACACGGGGGACACAGCTGACAAGAATTAACATGACACCACAGGGAAATGTAAGGCCTGCATGACAAAACAGGAAACTGAGGAACATGACACGGGAGTGGAGGAGAGGCAGACGAGAGGAAGCAAGGGAACACGAAAGAGCACGAGGGAGTGTGAGAGGAGACGAGAGAGACATGACAGACTGGGGAAACATTGATAAACATCACAAGCAGGGGGATGATAGAATGAAACATGAGAAGGGAAGGGAAACCAGACACAAGAACTCAGACAAAATATACAAAGACTGACACACAGAGAGAGACATAAAGGACAAAGACACAAGAGGCAATCTATAATCAAAAAGCTAAACAAAACAACGTAGACACTACAGAATAAACTCAAGACTAATCAAGTGGAGCTAAACATAAATAACAATACAAAATCAAAACACAAGAAAACTCAAAACACTGGGTCAAATGACCCAGGACCATGACAGTGCAGACACTACACCGTCATGGTCTTATTGTCACATAATGGCCCAACAGGTTATTAAACCCAGGCCAGTTCTCGGAATCAGGAAATGCAATAGGTGCGAACTAACTGCAGCCTTCACTCTATGCATTTTGCCCTTAAATTTAATAAGCAATGGCACTGTAGGATACTACAGATAACATCCCCGTGAACACACCTAACCTTGAACCACTCTGCCTCCAACAATGCCCCGGGGCCACAATATCATTGAAAGAGTGAACAAGAGTGAGTTTGTTGAAGAAAACCTGGAAATGAGCAGATTCAGTTCAGCTTCTATTACCATGATAAGACTTTAAGTTAATGCTTTTTCTGCAATAAAAAACTCTTGAGTTTCCGTCATCCCAATGTCCAAAGTATTGCGTACATTCTGAACCACACAGTAATGTACTATACTAAGAAGTGTAATGGTGGGTCATTATGTTGTCTAGAATTTAAGTGACTTGTATTTCTCTTTCAATTGCAGGAGTTCAAAATGCCTCACGATATAGCTGAAACTAGGGATGGCAGTGTTTTTGTTGGGGATGCCAGCAGCAAATCCGTCTACAAGTTTACAGCAGAGAGTAAGTTTATCTTCATCAAAATAATTCTGCCAACTTTTAATTGTTCTAGCAAAATCTATCATACAGTGTGTTTGGGTATTAAGTCCAATTTTGATTGATTAATTTATTTCAGACTTATAAGACTTGAATTATGGTTGCTTCTTTGTTGGCTTTGCAGATGAACAGTAGTACTAGGTTGTATACATCAATGATTTTTTTGTTTTAATTATTACCTTTTATTTTCAAGAGTTGCATCATTCTGTCAAGAAAGCTGGAATTGAAGTTCAAGAACTTGAAGGTCAGTAATTGGATACCTGGAGGCAGCAGGTACATAATCTTTGAATCCATAAGGGGCAGGCAGCTATTCATAACAGTGAGTCACAGACATTTAAGATGTGACTTCTAGTGATGCCTGATGGAATAAATAGTGATTTGAAAAGAAAAAGGTTTCAAATTAAAAGTTTCCTAACTTTGAGGCAACCACTTGAATTGAGACCTAATGAGATCAAAGGAAAATGTTGACTGACACTGTTGGCATAGGAAACTGGAATGTGTACTAGCAACCAATGCAAGCAATGTGCAACGAGTGAATCATATCACTCGCTTACATATCACAATCATAGTGTATAGATGGCACTTAAGGGGGGTGGCTGTAAGCTCAGGCGGTAGAGCAGGTCACCGACTAACCTGAAGATTCAATGGTTCAATCCTAGTCTGCTCCAGTCTGCATGCCAAATATCCTTTGGCAAGATATTAACCCCAGGTTGCTCTCTCTTTGAGTGGAGCTCAGAGTAGAAAAGCACTATATACGAACCAATCCATTTGCCATGCCTTAGCGCAAAGGGTAATGTCTTCTAAGGTATATAATCCCATTTATTCATCCATCCATCCAT